TTTCACAATAGACATTTATACACCATTCGATAGAGAATTTCAAGGGCTACATTTTACACTATTTATATTTGATATACGAATTATTTGAATTTTCGGCCTAATGTCCGCTTGGATGCCCACTGTGTGTCAGTCCTCTGGATCGCCCCTGAGTGTGTCTATATCGTTCGTGATTAGTCATTTTATGGTGAAATCGGTCGTTATAAATGCGACAATACCAGCAAACTGAGAGTTACAAATGTAATCGTTTCTGTCTCATTTTATACTTACCTTTGGTATAACACTGCAGAGGATGATAAAATATTCTATTACAGCTATCCGTTTACTGAGACGTATTTTAAGTGAAATGTATAGAGATGAGAGATGTGTAGCTTTTGATACGCTGGTTTGACTTTAGTTTGATTTTTGAAGTAAGTTCTTCCCATTTATATACATAAGTACACGTGAAGAAAATCATTTCATTTCCAGGAAACACATTTTCTTTCCAGGAAACTGGTTTGGTTTCCAGGAAAGTCATTTGCTTTCCCGACAACTCATCCGATTTTCGAAAAAGCCTTTTAATTTCCGAAACTCCTCTGGTTATCTAAAAAGTGAGTCCATAACGTAAATGAATTAAAAACTAATTCAAAATTCATATAAATCTGTGAGAAATCTATAATGTAGTTTCTATTAGATTTTCTAATACTTTTTCCATAAGAATTTCAATAAATATTTATGTCAAAATTTCTCTTACAATTCCTATTACGTGATTTATTACTCTCTACTAGAATCTAGTAGGTTTACCAGGGTCCACGACTATCATCTGGGTCTAATTCATCCCGAGACACTCTCACTTCGGTGTTGCGTGTGTGTGTCTCGTTCCATGGTAGAACCTAGTAGACCATTATGCTTTTTTATTTATTTTGAATTATTACGTAATGTTTTTACGTCAACCAGGATAAAACGTCAAAGAGAAAACCGTACGATCTATATCACGGGAACCCCAGCCAAAATGGGAAAAACTACATACCCTTCTGCACTCTGACAATCAGGTGATCTATCTTGTCTGTCTAACCAACCTCACCCACATCAAGATACTGACCTCTGTGTGCGTCTCTACGTCTGTATCCTCAATCTAGTGTGTGTGTGTGTTACTATTCACGCCCTCATCTACGCGAATAACATCAGAATCGAATGACTTTCCCCAAATACTTACCTAGTTTCCAGTAAGTTCATATTGTTTCCGGAAACTACTTTGGTTTCCTGGACAGACATTTGATTTCCCGGAAAGCCATTTGATCCCCTGGAAAGCCATTTGATTTCCGGAAACTCATCTGATTTCCTGGAAAGTCATAAAGAGCATCATATGTTAGTGTGAAACGAAAATATGGATGGATATAGGGATGGAACCTTTTAGACTCAAATGAACAATGCGTAGAATAAAATGGTTTTGATAAAAGATGAATTTCATATTGTGTTAGTTTAACATTACCAGTTGTATAAATGATATCGGTTAAATGAACAGGATCTAATTCGGCCAAGCGTTGATCATAATGTAATGGTTTGTTTAGAATTGCTGATGAATTATAAACTGGTGTGATAGAATAAAATGGTGGATAATTAATTTGAAAGGAATTTGAAACTGCGCTTGTCGTGGTTGTTGTTGTGGCGATTGCAGTTGAAACCGTACTGGTGCTTGAAATAGAGGATACCAGTTTTTTGAATTTTGATTTTGATCGATTGCAGGGGCAGTATTAGTTTGTTGTTGTTTTTGTGGTTGTTGTTGATGCTGATGTTGACTGTAGTTTGAATAATTCTGATTACGATATGGCCGATAAGAACGATTATTATAATAATTATTATTATTATAAAACGGACGTCGAGATCGTTGATGATGCCGGTATAAATAATAATCGCGACTATTATCGTAATGATTATAATAATTATACCGATTATTTTTATATGAATAATAGGGTTTATTATGTGAGTAATTTTGTTGATTATTATCATTTGATTCTTTTGGTTTTGTGAGTATTGGTTTATTAGTTGTTAAT